GCAGCGCTGTGGAGCTGGTCTTTCCCGGCGGGGTGCGGTGGATGCCAGCTCCGTCCCAGCGGTAGCATCAATCTGTGGTATCATGGAATCATGGAAGACCTCAGGTTGGAAGGGACCCATGACGACCATCAAGTCCAACTCCCTGCTCCTCACAGGACCACATGACACCAAAACATACCACCTACAGCGTCATCCAGATGCTCCTTGAGCCCTGACCGGCTGGGTGCCATGACCGCTTCCCTGGGGAGCCTGCTCCATTGACCGGCCACCGTCTCGGCGAAGAACCTTTTCCTAACGTCCAACCTGAACTCCCCCTGGTCCAGCTCCATTCCCTTTTCTCGTGTCCTGTCGCTGGTCACCAGAGACAGGAGATCGGCACCCCCCCCATCGCTGCTCCCCTGGAGGAAGGTGTCAACTGTGATGAGGTCACTTCTCAGTGATGAGGTCACCCTCAGCCTTTACGTCTCCATGCTGAACAAGCCAAGTGACCTCAGCCGCTCCGCGTAAGTCCCGCCCTCGAGACCCTGCGCCATCTTGGTCACCTTCCTCTGGACACACTCCAATAGTCTCATGTCTTTCTTTCACCAAGGCCCAAAGCTGCGCCCAGTGCTTGAGGTGGGGCCGCACCGGTGCGGTGCAGGGTGGGACAACCCCCTCAGCTGGTGATGCTGGGCTGGATGAACCCCAGGACACGGCTGGCCCTTCGGCTGCCAGGGCACGCTGGAGATGCCTGTTCAACAGGCCGTCAACCCAGCCCCCCAGAGCTCTTTCTGTGGGGCTGAGCTGCAGCCTCTCGTCCCCTGGTTTGTACGTAGAATGAGGGCTACCTCATCCCAGGTAGAGCATCAGGCGCTCACTCGTGATGAGTTTCATGTGGTTGGTGACTGCCCAGCTCCCTACCCTCCCCAGATCTCTCTTTAACAGGCTGCCCAGGGCAGTGGTGGAGTCCCTGTCCCTGGAGGGGTTCAGAAAACGTGTGGATGTGGCACTTCAGGACATGGTTTTAGCAGGCGTGGTGGGTGTGGGGTGACGGTTGGACGTGATGATCTTAGAGCTCTTTTCCAACCTTAATGATTCTGTGATTCTATGATTAAGGTCTCTCTACCCTTGAGGGAGTCCACAGCTCCTCCTAGTTTAGTATCATTGGCAAACTTACTTAATGGACGTTTGATTCCTGCTTCCAGATCATTTATAACAACATTGAAGAGCATTAGCCCTAAAATCGAGCCCTGGGGAACCACACCGGTGACTGGCTGCCAGCCTGATGTGACCCCATTTTTGTGACACCCTCTTTGAGCCTGACCCATCAGCCAATTGCCCACCCGACGCCTGAGGGACATGTCTAGCTGTGCGCTGGACAGCCTGCCTGGAAGGATACTGTGAGAGACAGCGTCAAAAGCTTTGCTGAAACCCCAAGCCACCACATCTGCTGGCTTCCCTTGGTCAACTACACAGGTGACCTCATCATAAAAGGAAACCAAGTGGGTTGAGCAGGACTTTCCCCTCGTGAATCCAAGCTGGCGATGACCAGAGACTGCCTTGTTTTTCAAGCATTTTCAGTAACTCCCAGAATAACCTTCTCCATAATTCACCAGGCACTGCGGTGAGACTGACAGGTCTGGAATCACTGGGGTCTTCCTTCTTACCCTTCTTGAAAATGGGGACAACATTTGCCAGCTTCCAGGAGACTGGGATCTCTCCAGACTCCCAAGACCATTGAAAAGCAACGAAGAGAGTTCCTGCGATGACAGCGGCCAGGTCTCTCGGCACCCTGGGGTGAATCTCCTTGGGCCCCATAACTCACACGCATCCAGCTGGAGCAGCACGTCTTGAGCAAGTTCAAGATCGGCTGGGAGCTTATCATCCCCCCGGTCCCGGTCTCCCAATGCAGAGCTCTGGGGCTCCCCAGGCCCATCATCAGTGTTAAAGAACGCGGAGCAGAAGGCATTAAACATCTCCTCTTTCTCTGTGTCCCTATCGGTGAGGTGACCGACCTCGTCATGCAACGGACTGGTGTTGTCTCCGATCCTCCTTTGGCTGTTAATATATTTTAAAAAGCTTTTTTTGTTGTCCTTCACAGTGCTGGCCAGCTCTAACGCTGATTGAGCTTTGGCCTCGTGAATTTTCTCCCTCCCATGGCAAAGCGCATCTCCGCAGTCCTCCACGTCGCCTGTCCTTGCTCCCAATGTCCGTACACGTTCCTTCTCTGCCTGAGCCCCAGCGCAGGTCCCTGCTCAGCCACGCCGGCCTCGCGCCCTGCTGGCCCAGCTCCTTGGCACCTGATAGCAAGGGCTGCTGGTGAGACGCTGGCGGGGAGAAGCTCATTAGAGGCAGAAGGTTAATTATATGAGACATGCCCGGGGAGCAGACTGTCTCAGGGCCATGCAGAATTGCAGCTGCCGGCCGTGTCCTTGGGGTTTGGCGGTGCCAGGGGTGCTCTCCCCCACCTCAGTCCCTCACTGGGCTGCGAAAAAGAGTAAGCAAAAGGAAACTCAAAAGCTCTCTCGATTTTATCTGCTCATCTGCATACGAACACTTCCCTTTCTGCCGCCCAAACCACCGTGCAGGCAGAGCCAGAGCGGCTGAGCCCACCGCAGCGGTGCCGACACCGACAGCTGCTCCGTGCCCAAGGTAGGGGCTTCGCCAGAGCGAGGGGGGGATGCGGGGGGCCGGCTCGGCGCCGGGGGGC